ACCAGTATGAAGGGCACGCAAGTCACGGATCCCATGGGAGAGCCTCATGTCGAGGCTGGCGTGCCGGGTTGTAGCACCGGGTGACTTCGAGCCTGGTACCGACTCTCAGCCTGCCCTACCTCACAGCATTTTTGTGAAGATACAATTAAGGGGATTTGATACACTGCCTTTGGTTCCCTGCAAGGAAGGAAATAGGTGGGATATAAATGTAAGAAATACACAAATGAATTCTGGGGTGGGAGGACACATCATGAGTATGAAATATGACTTTTTTAGGTGTCCTAGAACAATCACTGGCTCTTCTCTGCACGGGTTTCTTCTTCCCCATATGATTACACTTTGGGTGCAATCATATGCAAGTATAGATAGAACAGAAGGCCTACTATGTTGTGGGAGGAAGGCCTTTTTCCCCGTTTGAACATATAGTAGCACATCTTTTTGTTGAGTAAAAAACTGGATTGAGTTATCTTTCTCCAAGGAAGTGCAGCATAGTGCTAGAATTGAAACTGTCTCAGAGGCTGATGGCAGTTTGTTGAGGATTTACAGCATTGCACTGAATAGATTTTATCTACGACATTTTATCTTGCTGTAGCTTCCCAATGGGCATCCCTTGGAAGAAACTGAATTGACTGTTGGGTGGAGAAAATGCCGGGTTGGCCTCTCTTCTCTGTGTGACGGCATCTCTGCAAAACACCCTTACCTCTTCTTCCCTGTAGATTTAAGAATGCCTTGAACCACTCAGAATTTACTGTAGAGGGAAGCCAGATCAACTCCACTACCCCAAGCAGGTCTGGGGAAAATCTGAGCAAATACCTTCTCTCACCCTTGCAGGTCTGACTGACTATGATCTATGCTCTTAAGTGCCTTGAAAAAACCCTGGGAGGCTGCTGCGGGCTTGGGGTGTGTGTGTGTGTGTGTGTTTACCTTTCGCCATAATAACCTTTTTTTCCCTTGCTGACCTGCGTTTGAACCTGCGATTAGCACCGCATCATCAGTTTGAGAATTTACTCCGTCTCATTGCTGGTGGTACGGATTCCTCATCTCAGGGCCCTGGATGTAAATATAAACCTCCATCTGTGGGGTGAACTGCAGGCCAAGGACTAATTTTAGAGAATGGCTCTGGTCGGCTCAGCCATTCTTCCTTCCACAGTCAGACTGTGGGTTGGCTTGCCTGGGAGGATAGGCAGACTTGCTGAGTCTGCTTTGTTGTTGCTTTGCTGAAATCCACCAATCAGAGCTAGGCGCAAAAGACATACACGTGCAAATACGGAGCTGGAGGCCCAGAAATTCTGTGCAGGACAGCTGAATGGCCATCTCCAGTTAGATAAGCCACTCCTGGTTATTTCTTTCCCAATCTAACCAGGGAGAGCCAGGCCAGCGCTACCACTGTCTGCTATTTGGAGCTGGATACACTGGCCATCGACTGCAAATCTCACAGAAATGCTAGTAAATCTCGCTCTGCCTTCTGCCCAGAAACCTTCCCTTTCCCCTTCTACTTTTCCAAGTGTACTGGAGCAACCCTTACAACTTTGGGGAGCTGGATATTTGGGGCATGAAATTGGGGAAGGCAGCCAGCCCTCCCTCCCTCTCTCCCTCAGTCTTTAAGACAGGTCCAGGCAAGAGGGATCTGGAGCTACAGAACTGCTGCAAAAATGAGACATTACAAAGGAAGGTCCTTTGGAGTAGATGGGAGACATTGGTTGTATCCAGTGCTATGTTCCATTCCTTTCAATGAGCCTACCCTAAGCACAATTTGGGATGCAATTTGTGTTGTATTAACAGAGCACATCAGCCTGCAGGCTGGAACAGGGATGGACTGTTTCAGTTACCTGTGCTTGAACTCAGTGACAGGCATGAGAGCTAAAAGGCAATAAAGAAAAGAGTGCCTTTGAGCCTCTACAGAGCTCCTAAATCATTACGATTGGCCTCCCCATTATGGAAGCTTTCACCTCCAAATGCTACCTTCATCAAAGCAAGGCATGTTTGGGAGTAACCAAACACTGAAAGGGAGGGAGGGAGGGAGGGAGGGAGGGAGGGGGAAGGAAGGTGTGACTCCCCAGATGTTGATGAACTGCAGTTCCCATCTGTTCCCTAGCCAATGTTGTCAACAGTAAGAGATTATGGGAATTTTTGTCCAACAAAATCTGGAGAACTGCACTGGTGGAGGGCCACACTTTCCCCATTCCTGATATACAACAAAAGTAATGTTTTGATTGGGATCAGCAAATACTGGTCACAAACAGGTAAACAAACTTTGTAATTAGCAAAATTCTTCTTTGGATTAGACACCAAGGGGAGGGGTGAAGATATGGTGGCATGCAGGCTACATTACATGAGGTTGTGCTTGCTGCATAAAAATTAAAACAATTTTTAAAATCAGTTAAACTAAACCCAAGTACTTTGCCTTACAGTGCAACTTTATTCCTATCAACTCAGTCAATACCATTAAGTTCAATGGGACTTACTCCACATAAGTGCAATATAGATCATCTTGCTGCCAAGTAGGCTCAAGACTTTCATGGATAATTGTTATTCACAGAAGGAATTTCACAGTCCCAGTAGTTGTGAAATTCTTAGAAGAGGTACCAGTACTTAAGCCAAGAATGTGTTGGGTTCTAAACCATGCACAGCTGTGAAGCTCACAATGACCTTGGGATTGTCATTCTCTCCCAAGAGCAGCACAAATTTGGATGCGGTGGCAGGAAACTAGCCTGAGGCTGATCAGGTTCCAGAAGCCATTCAGGTTTAGCTGCCATTTGCTTTATGGTAAAAACAAAAGTATCCAGTTTAAGTATGCTTGGGACACATGGGAAAACAAAATTTGCTGGAGAAGACAATAATGCTAGTGGGAGCCGACAGCAGAGGAAGAGGAAGATTAAATATGAAATGGATTGATTCCATGAAGGAAGATTCATGCTTGAGCATGCAAGAGCTGAGCATGGATGGGACATTCTGGAGTGCATTCATTTGTAGGGTTACCATAAGTCAGAGAACAAGAAAATAAAAGTGCTATTGATATAATATGCTGTTTTGTCCTCAGCTTACTTCACAGGGTTGGTCCCAGGATAAAAGGGAAGGATTTGATTGACTACATGGGATAAAAGTATGGAGTTTTGTTTTATAAATCCTACAGTTAAGTAGATGATATCATACAGCAGATAGTCACAGAAGCTCCATCCTAAAGTTAGGCTCTAGCACAGAAACTGAATTATTTGACTCAATCACATATGGGCTTTCATTTTGGTAAGGACTACAGGATCACCACAGAGCTGGTGAAGCTGGTTAAAGCGTGATGCTGTGCCATTTATTCTGTGGGCTACAGGGAAATTGAAATAACTAACAAGTACACAAGTAAAGACTGGATCATCCCATTGCAGACCCTGACCTGCACTGGGGAGAAACTGCTATCCTATTTACCAGCCTACTCTAGAGAAAGGTTCCAAGACTGAGGCCCCCCACTAACATCACAAAGGAAGATGACTACAATAGCAGAGGTTCAATGGGACTTGCTTTAAAGCAATTGGACATGAGATCATCGGCCAAGGTTCTTTTCCTTAAATTTTAAACAGTTAAAATTGCAATGAGAGGATACTGGCAATGGCTCCTGAATATTGCCAAGCCTTGTAAGGTGTAAAATCACCCTAGGCTTAGCCCCAGAACCTACCACTACAGTGCAGTATTTATAATTTAAAAGATGCAATCCTATGTTTGCTAGTTGGGTTATCCTGGGAGTTGTGGGCCTTTTTTCTGTCTAAATTTGCACTTAGCTTCTACATTTAAAGGCCAATGAAGCAATCAGTAGACCTACCCTACCTAGAATCCGACTAACTCGAATGTGCTTTCTTCTGAATATGTATGCTCAGGGATATTACCTTTTGTAGCAGATCAATTTTAGAGCCTGATAAGTAGTTACAAAGTCCAGAATGCCCAGGCATAAATATGGCCTAATTCATCTCCCAAAAAACCCACCTGCTGTCCCAGTCCCACAGCATGAGCTTATGGGGCTGCAGTTCGAAACCAGAAAACTAAGAGGCAAACCCAACTAAACTCGAAGTCCCGAACTTGTTGGTAGGGGACAAGCCTCCAGGAGCCTAAGAATGCCTACTTCTGAGTAAACAGGTTTTAGGCATTACGGAGTACAGGGTCTGGCTGTCTGAGGCTTGTTCTTGAGTAAATACATTTAGGGCTGAGCTTTATGGCCATAACCCTCTACGTATTCACCTGGGGTAAGTCCATAGAGCTTACATCTGAGTAGGATGGCACTTGCAGTGCTCTTCTGCTTTAGCCGTCGTCTTCGCTTCTTCTAGCAAAGTCTAAGCCCATCGAAAAAGGCAGGTTCAGCGGCTCTCAACGCCTCCAGCAGCGCTCAGAAACCTTACATTCCCTCACGATGGTCCAAGTCCCCTTGAACTGACTCCTGAGTAAAAAGTGTTGGCGATCACACCGCGTGGCTGAACAGCTACGGGGGAATGCAATTGACATGGGAGTAAGCTCCAGCTACCACAGCCAAGCCTACTCCAAGTAAACACACCGGAGTTTGGTCTACACGCTGTTTTAACTAAATGGGGTATGGGAGGCGAGGACACGACCCCTAATGAAGCTGCTGTGGAAGTTCAGCCCCCTTGAAATCAGGAAAGAAGCTCCGGGTCGTCCCGGCGCGAGAGACCCCCGAGCCGCTCCTCCGTTCGCGTGGATGCAGCGGGCACGCCAGTTTTGTTTGGGCTGAGCAGGGGGCGGGGGCTGGATCGGCGCAAACCCAAACGGCAGCCGAGGAGGCGGGGAAAGGAAGAGACGCGGGTGGAGCCTGCGGGCCCCCGGCGGCAATTAAGGCTGAACTTTGGGTGAACTAATTGATCGGCCGGAGCAAGGTAAAGAGTGGGCAGCGACTGGGGGGAACGGATGGGTATAAAAGGGGCTCCCGCGTGGCGTCAGGCCCTGGTGCTGCCACGCCGAGGGGAAGGAGGCGAATGCCCGCGTCGTCGCCCGGGATCCCGCTCTCCATGGGCCTGTCCGCCTTGCTGGCGAGCGCCGTGGGCACCTTCGTGCTCCTGCCGCTGCTGCTCTTCGCGGTCTCCGCGAAACTCTGGGCTTTGTACTGCCTGCGGGGCCGCGACCGCTGCTGCCCCCTGCCGCTGCCCCCCGGCACCATGGGGCTGCCTTTCTTCGGGGAGACGCTCCAACTGGTGCTGCAGGTAAGGCGGCCGCGCCTGCCCGTGGCCGGGACCCGGCGCGCGGCGAGACCCCGCGGCTTGACTTGCCCCTTTCTCTCCCTCGTCTACGCAGCGGCGCAAGTTCCTGCAAATGAAGCGGCGCAAGTACGGCCACATCTACAAGACGCACCTCTTCGGGCGGCCCACGGTGCGCGTGATGGGCGTGGAGAACGTGCGGCACATCCTGCTGGGCGAGCACCGGCTGGTGGCTGTGCAGTGGCCGGCTTCGGTGCGCACCATCCTGGGCGCCGGTTGCCTCTCCAACCTTCACGACGCGCAGCACAAGCACCGCAAGAAGGCAAGCGCGGGGGCCGCGGCCGCCGGATCGCCTCTCCGCGCTCGGCCAGGGCACGGCTGGCCCCGCCGGCCGCGGGTCCTGCTCAGCCGGCCGGCAGCACGGGAGGAGTCCGGCTGGGGCGACTCTCTCGAGCGGGGGACACACGGCTTTCTGTCGAAATCAAAGGGCTTTTAGAAAGCTTTTGTGCTCGACTGTGTCGGCCAAACTGATATTATTTTAAATGCGTGTCTACCAAGTAAGGCATTTGTTACTCTAGAATAAGCACAAGGACCCAGTCCGGATCTTAACCCCCTCCCCCATCTGAACTAGGGTCCAAGCCTGTAGTAGGTTCCAGACCTACTCTACAGTTACAATGAAGTCAAAGATACAGTAGTTAGACAAACATAGAAAGTAACGTCGGGATGCTAACAGGACTGCTAAGTGTGCTTCCTAGACGTCGAAATTCGACGGACGGGGGTCCGCTTGCACGGAAAGCTCTCGCGGCATGCCTTGGGACTTACCTCAGAGTAAACATGCACTAGGATCGGGCTGCAAGTCACGCTGTAAAGGGGGAGGCAGGAGGTTGAAATCTTTATGGGGAGCATCCCCTCCAGTGAAACAGACTCCAGTGGGAGGAACGAAGTCCTCCACAAAGAAGCACCTTCGAGTAGTGTGGAGCCAACTACATCCATTTGAGACGTCTTGGCGGTTTTGGGTCCTCCACTCCGAAGGCTTTCTCAAGAGGGATCTTCAAAGGTTCTTTCTGCCTTTTTCTAGAGGAGGTGGTTTCTTCACCAGCTGTGCAAGATGTTAGCTGCAGGCAGATACACATTCCTTTCTCTAATCCTAAACATGTCCTTTGGGGCTACCATCCGGAAAAGGAACTGTTCCCCCACCCACCAAAAAAACCCCTTTATATGATTGTGGTTATTGGCTTTTCAGTCCGGATGCTTCCTTGGAAGCAAGTCTGGTAGAGTTTATTGGAACTAACTCTCCAGTGAGTCTGGCCAGGTTTGCAGCCTCACCATACAATCCTGTATGTGTCTGCTCAGAAATAACTCAACTGGAATTATGATGTGGGTTCTTAGCAGCCCAGCAGAAAGAGGTATAGGGTTTCTGCATCCTGAAGTGCCAGTTTTCATGATTAGCTTTTCTAAGCTTGTGTCTCTCTGAAGTTGCTTGGGCTTGCTATTTCAGGCTGGGGTTGGTGTGGGGAGGGTGGCAGTATAAAAATAGGGGGAGATGATCTTTTCAGAGGGGGGACAATGTGTGATTATTGTTGGCATCAGTGGCACAGCTGAGTGCAATCAGTTCCTCCATCCCGATTTGTATGTGTGTTGCATTTGCCGGAGTTGGAATTTTACTGCACTAAATGGGTTGATGGTGAAAATCAAAGGTTAAAGATCCCAGACTGCCATGCCCTTGAGTCAATGTGCTCGGATTGGCTTGCCTTGGTTCTTGCTCCAAGCACCGATCCGAGGTGGGCTGAGTGGCTTTAGAACCCCTCTTCCCTTTTCTACCCCAGGTCATCATGCGAGCTTTCTCCCGTGAGGCCTTGGAACACTACATCCCAGTGATCCAGGAAGAAGTGAGCGCTTCCCTGAGGCTATGGCTACTGGCTAGCGCTGACAGCAGCTCCTGCCTGTTGGTATATCCGGAGGTGAAGCGCCTCATGTTCCGCATCGCCATGCGCATCCTGCTGGGTTTCTGTCCGGGCCAGCCAGGCTCTGATGGTGAGGAGCTTCTGGTGGAGGCCTTTGAGGAGATGATCCGCAACCTTTTCTCCCTGCCTATTGATGTGCCTTTCAGTGGTCTTTACAAGGTAAAAGATTACACCAGATGGGGAGGGAGGTTGCAGTTCTCTGGCTTGGAGAGCAAATGGATCTCAGCCAGGAAGGTGGATGAGGGAGCCGGCAGTTATGAAGGCTGGTATTTTGAAGCCTCAGGTGATTTGCCTGCTCTGCTTGAAGGGCTTGAGGGCGCGGGATATCATCCATGCCAAGATCGAGGAGAGCATCCGGGCAAAACTGGCTGGGAAGGAGCCTGCTGATGGCTACAAGGATGCACTGCAGTTGCTGATGGAGCACACACAGAGCAACGGGGAGCAGCTCAACATGCAGGTGAATCTTGGGGCACCCGGATGCTTCCTTGCCTGGGGCCTCCCTGGTGGGAGGTGGGTTCTTTTGTTTTTCACTCTGCAGGTCTAGGGAGGCCTTGGAATCTCTGCCTGGCTCTGCCCAAACGTTTTATTTCTTCCTCTGAACCTGCAGAGGAAGGCCATCCAGTTGGGAGGGGGTGCCCTTTTTAGCTGCCAGGCCTCTGCAGCTCCCTTCAGAGGTATGTTTTGATCAATATATGATCAATATTTACTGATTTGATATTAGGTTCACTGGGTTGTATTTTTAACAGTTGCACACCAGGCAGAAAGGTTTTAGGTAGTGTCCTAAAGGATTCAGTGGTATCCCTCCCTTTTCTTTTAACCTGAATTTGTACCAGCCAAGCGGCTAAATTAAGCACAAGCAGACAGGAAGGAGAAAAATAGGAGGTGCACCTGATGACTTTCTGCCTGTGATACAGTGGTAAAAGCCAGCAATCCTAATTTCAAATGAGCACAGAGAGATTGATAGAGGGAGGTTTAAAGGCAGGTTTACTTCAGAGGCTCATGTTTCCATATCTTTAATAGTGAGATTTTGATGCCCTTTACTATAGAAAGTATTCTTCCTCCAAGATGGCATGAAATGTTTTGCTATGAAAAATAGGTTTTTGTGAGGCTGAAGGTGATCAAAAAGTTTTCAACTATTCAGCCTAATTCTGCCTCAGTTTCCATTGGGGGCCATTTTTAAAAAAAATTCTGAGTGTTTGCTCTTTTGTTCTATTAGTCAAACTGGCAACATAAATATTAAAAAGGTTCAATTTGTAGGGTAGTGTGGTATGTTATTTGTTGCTGACATACTATGCTTAAAAGCAAAGCTGCCCTTCCAGAATTGCAACTTTCCATGGCAGTGCTGCTGCTGGCAGTTTTATACCTTTCTTTGAATTCAGACTGATCTTCATAAAATCCTAAGACTATAATCTGTATGTGGGTATCTGAAACTAAGCCTTATAAATACAGTAAGGCTTATCTCCAGGTAAACATGTGCTGGGTTGCAGCTTTGGAGACTTATACCCATTAGGACTGTTATCTGATGAAGGATATTTTGGTTGTCTTTACTTCTACAACCTTTAAATTTGACTGACTTAAAGCGGCACATGTTTTTATCGGACTAAACTGTACTTCAGAAGGGGGAATCATAGCATAGTAGAGTTGAAAGGGGCCATGAAGGCCACCAGGTCTAACTTTATCTTTATATTTGACATTATACTATCCTGGCTGTCAGACTAGGACTAGAGATGGTTCAAACCCCACCCAACCATGAAACTCTTGGGTGACTTTAACACCAGTGGTTCTCTCAACCTAACCTACTTTACAGGGTTGCTATCAGAATAAAATGAGGGGGTAATTAAAAGGAGAGGGGATGATAGTAATGCTTTGTTTAATGCACCAATATTGCAGCAGGCATCATTAGCTATTTGTTCTCCTGTGTGTGAGATGGAAGAATGCCTCTTCTAAGACTTATATAAAACCAGGGCTTTTTTTTTTTTTGTCATAGAATGCACCGGTTCCAGCACCTTTTTTTCAATGGATTTTACGAAGTGATTTTGGGATTTTATGAACTGATTTTGGCGTAGCAGATCAGCAGCAAATATTATTAACATAGTGCCTGCAGGCTGCTATTGTGTCTGCCGATCTGCTATCTGATAGTGAGATATGCTGCTCGGCTTGGGATTGGTGTGTGTGCTTACAGCCGGCGGCGACCTGGCCGCGACGTGAGTTCGTTCTGGCACTTTTATACAGTGCTTTTTTTGTAAAAAAAAAAACAAAAAACAAAAACAAACTGCAAATCCAAGGATCTACAGTGAAGCAATAACTTTTTAATAGGAATTGACTATGCTGGCTGGGGATTATGGGAATAGCGGTTCAACACATGTAGACTGTACCAGGTTGGAGATGCCTGCAATACAGGCTTATTATATGGTGGTGACCTCATGGCTAGTCTGTTCCACTTCAGGTGGAAGGCTATCATGACTGGAAGTGCCTCCATGGAAAAACCTCTATATACAGAAAAGTGGCCAGCTGGAGGACAAGTATAGGATACTCTGGTGCAGTGGTTAAAGTGTTGGGCTGGGACTTGGGAGATCTGGGTTCTAGACCCCACTTGACCATGAAGCTCTGTGGGTGACTTTGGATCAGTCATGCCTCTCAGCCTAAAGTACCTTACAGAGTTGTGGGGATACAATGGAGGAGAACCTTGTAAATAATCTTGGGTTCCTTGCAAAAAGAATGTCACACAGTTACAATAGAGCATGTCTCCCTGCTGTTTTAGCCTTGCATGTATTTGAATATGCAGTCTAAAACAGATATGCAGAGCCCACAGCTTTTGTTTCCTAAGGATTCAATCCCATGCATGCAATCCCAACTGGCTGAGGAATGCTGGGAGTAGTAGGACTTCTTTTCTTTTAAAACATGCATGGGATTGTGCCTTAAGTAATTCTGCTATTTGACACAATGGGGCTTCCCCAGAATTTTCTAATTTTTGACAAGAATAAAGGCTGCAAAGAATACCATTCTCTTAAGGTATTTGTGCATGGGCACAGTGTACTTGACAAACTTGGTAGCCTACTGCTTATTGTGTTTAACTTTATTTTAAAGTTTGGAAAGCACCCTTTGTTAACACAATTCTCCAGGGTTTTGTGAGGCATGGGCCTGGGCTGCCCTCACTTTCCCAAATGTGGAGAACATTGAGATGCAAGCTCTCACAACCCCCAAGCACTTGCAAAAGAGTGTTCTGGGGGACATTCCATTAGTTCTTACACAGTAGAAGCAGGATCCCCAGGCCTTTTAGGGGTGCTGAGAAGTCCCAACTGTTCCCTCAGTTTTACAGTTTACCGTAGTGGTAAACTGTACTTGGGCAGTGACAAGACCTGAGGGGAAATTGTGGTTGGAGGGAATAAGGCTTATGATTTGAAGGGCCAAGTCTCCACAGATGGGAGTTTCCCTGCTTATTGGAAGTGCCTTCTCCCCACTGCTAGCTGGGAACAGGAAGCCTTTTGCAGCTGATCCTAAATGCTGGGATTGCTCCTAATTTGGGGTTGCCCAGTAGCTCCTTGGCTAGAGCAACAAGCCTTTCTCTCACACCTATAAAGGGATTTGACAATAGTGTGGGTGGCTGGAAGGGTTTGGTTTCCCTAATCTGTTTCCGATGCATAGAGGAGAGTTATGGTGCAAAACCCAGCTTGGCCTTCTTTTTTCTTCCTTCCCCTGTAAAGGAGCTAAAGGAATCTGCAACTGAACTACTTTTTGGTGGGCATGAAACGACAGCCAGTGCTGCAACCTCCTTGATCACCTTCCTAGGCCTTCACCAGAATGTCCTGCAAAAAGTACGAAAAGAGTTAAAAGAGAAGGTAGGTGTTTGTTTCCAAGATCTGGAAGGTGAAATTTTAAAAGACATGATTCATATTGGCCTCATCTGTTATTGCAGAAACTTGGATACTGAGCTGGGAGACCTGGTGTCAAGAGCCCTGCTTGTCCAGAGGACAAATATGAGTCAGGCACATTAAAATGGGTGCAAATAATGAATTTGAATGAAGGCTTTGACTTAATGGTTACTTGCCCGGAGAGGTGAAGAGCCCCTTTGAAAGTATCTTAACCAGTGAGTGTTGTAGCCACTCTGGGGACATATAAAAGAAGATGTAATGTTTAGTTGGTCTATGATCACTTAGCTTAACTAATTAAACCTTTTTTGTTTGCTTTTTTAAAATGTTCCCCTGCTTGCCAGCATATTTTTGTACATTAATGGTTTTAAATATAAGAAAATTTGAGTTATTATTATTATTTTTTTTTTTTGCTACCTTCTGTTGCCTTCTGTCAATCAATCGGTGAGTGAGTGAAAGAATGAGAGACTTGTCTGGAAAAAGTGTCATTCTCTCTTCACACTCAAAGGGAATACACATGGCTATCCAAAGTCCACAAACCATGTGAGACTATGAAGTTCAAGGTGTAAAATTATCTAGATCTTGTCTAGAAAAACGCACTGCTTTTGGTGTCTGGTTTTCAAATGCTACAAGTATCACACTTTCTCTTGGGAGGTACATGAGTTTTATGGCTTCTATAAGAACATAAGGAAAGCCATGCTGGATTAGACCAAGTGTCCATCTAGTCTATCATTCCTTGCAAATGGGGGCAAACCAGCTGCCCAAAGGATCGCTCAAGCAGGATGGGTGCAACACCTCCATCTGTTCAAGCTCCACAGCAACTGGTGTATAGAGGTAACCAGGAGACCAAACCACGTAGCTATCTTGACATGAACCTGGACTAGCATGAGAATACCTATAAAGGCTGGCAGGGAAAGTGTAGGAGGGTGGGCGAAGGAGGCCAGATGGAATCCAAGCATTCTTACCATTTGCCTATGAAGATATATACAAATACTAACAGATGCTGGTGATCAATTGATGTGGTCAGGAAGTTCTTGCTTCATTACTAAAACTGAATCCTGATTTGGGGCTGATTACATGAATGCACATAGTCCTACAAGGCCTGGGTGTTGATCAGGTAGGCTTTCCTTTCTGCCTGTCCTGGGCTCCATCATGGCACATGGTTTTTGTTTCCAGGGATTATTGGGAAGTTTGAACCAAGAAAAGCATTTTGAAATGGAAGTCTTGGAACAGCTGAAATACACTGGCTGTGTCATCAAAGAGACACTCCGGATGAGTCCACCAGTTCCAGGAGGATTCAGGGTGGCCCTCAAAACTTTTGAACTAAATGTAAGTTGGAGAAGTTCACTTCCATGGAACTGCTCATAACCACCTCAATCGTAAATGTGTTTTTTGGGTAGTCCTATAAGTTTCTTTTTAGTGCTTAGGATTACAACTGAAACTTGCAGTAATAGCTAGCCTAACAATAGCATAAAAATGATTTATAAAGGACAGTGGGTAACATTCAGCTCTGGAGCAGAAGGGGGAGCTTGCAGAAGTGGGGGGAATGCTTAAACTTTCCCTTTCTCTGTTCTGTTGAAACACATTTTTCCACTGTAAGAGAGAGTAGTTTCAATCCTGCCCATGTTTCTGTCTCTTTAAAAACGCTAAAGCAAAGCATCTGTAGTTGCTAAATAACTGTGACTATGTGGGAGGAGCTGTAACCCACAGAAAACCGGCTTTCAAGATGGGCACACATGTTTAGTTTGCTTATTAGTCCAATGCTATGATCAGAAACAGCTCCTTTTTGAACAGTATGAAGATCAAACTCCTACAGCTGTAGTTTCTTAGACAGAGTGATGGGGAAAGTGTGCCTGTTTGTTCATTTTATTTATTCCTAACCTGCCCTTCATAAACAAAAATATCCAGGCTGTGTAACAATTCTGGACCAGTAAAGTGCCAAAAATATTTTTAAATGTTGCCCTGCTTTAGAGCTCCTGAGACTACAGCAGGCTCCAGAACACCTCAGACTTATCAGATATCTGTTTGCATTTCCTCTTGATCTGGATGCCTAATGTAGATTAAGAGCCCCTGAGGAGCCACAATTTGTCAAAAGCGCTTGAATTAAACTTCTGAATTGGAAATCTTTTCATTTTGAAGAAGACTAGGGAGGCAAGTCTTTTAGCAGGCAGGGTAAAATGCTGCCTTAACATCTGTTGAGGGCCTACTTTCTTGTTGAATTCAGATTTCTCTCCAACACCCTCACTTTACATGTGGTCACTGTTGAATGTTGCTAGTATTGATAACCTGTGTGTTGGGACCTCTGTGTACATGTAACAGGTGGTGTGTGAAATTTCTTTCACTCAACACATAATCAGCTTTAAAAAGAGACCATCTGTTGTGAGTTAGGATAGGTTTTTGGATTCTTAGCCTGCTTGGCCCCTTCCAACCTTACTATTCTATCGGGTTCAGCCCCCTGCTGGTGCAGGATGCCAAGTCATACCATCCCACTCAGATGACTGTCCAGTTTCACCTTGAATGCCTCTAGGATACAGGTAAATGATGTGGTGCCCTTACAAATTCTGCAGTCATTGACCATTGGTCATGCAAGCTGGGGCTAATAGAAGTTGTAATCCCAAGCAGATGAATGAGAAGATGGTGTTTGCCATCTTTCAAACCTACCTGATGTATGAAAAGGAAGTATTCACCATTCATCAGTGTGGTAGAATAAAGTGGCATTTAAAGTGGTACCACATCTTCTCTCTCTCTCCCCCACCACTTGCTCTACATGCACATGTACGCACACATGAATATATGAAAGTATAATTTCTCCCAAATCTATGGGAAGATGAATGATGATGATGGTGATGCCAGAGATACTTCAATGCTTTACCAGAGGTATCAGTAGCCATCTGTTTTGCTAAGTGCTGGTCCTAAAGCTGCCAAAATGGCACCATCTGTGCACAAGGGGTGAGGTACTGGCAGTCTTGAGTGATTGTCAAGGTTTGAGGAAGTGCTACTTGTTTCAACAGGGGGAAGACTTCTGGGGAGAGCTCCCCCAGTGAGGACTAACAATGATGACTGAACTCGGGGGGCCCAGAATGCTGACAGACTGAAGGGAAAACATGGAAAAATAAGTGGTGGTATGGAATGGGGTATCTGCAATATTTTGTTGCAGGATAACTTGATTGCTGTTAACCCCTTTGTACTTCAGGCATGTAACTGTATCTGTTCTGGTCACCCACATACTCTCAAAAGGAGTTTATGCTGGCAAAATATCTTCTGCTTGTAGGGAAAATGGCTAAATATATGAGAGAAATCCATAGTTCTGCTGTTTTAGATCTCATTCCTCTCTTTTCCTTGTAGGGGTACCAGATTCCTAAAGGCTGGAATGTCATTTACAGTATCTGTGACACCCATGATGTTGCAGAACTTTTCATCAACAAAGATGACTTTAACCCTGACCGCTTCATGTCCCCTTTCCCAGAGGATGTGTCACGGTTTAGTTTCATTCCTTTTGGAGGTGGCCTAAGAAGCTGCGTTGGCAAAGAGTTTGCTAAAATTCTCCTCAAGATCTTTACTGTAGAGTTGGCCCGGAACTGTGACTGGCAGCTTTTAAATGGACCCCCAGCTATGAAGACTGGCCCTACTGTGTATCCAGTGGACAATCTGCCGACAAAATTTACACGTTTTAATGGCCAGGTTTAATGAACTGTGTTGTAAGGGTGCACAATAGCTTTGATACTGCCCCAAATTCAATATTATATATTTAACTTTATAAATATGTAATATTTATAAATCTTTCCCCTGTTCCTAAGAATATTTTTAAAGCTATTCCATATATTAAAAGTCGGTGTGTGTTGCTGCTGTTGTTTTTTAAAGCAAGCACTATAATTATGAGTCCTCTGGATTTGTAATCAGGCAATTTTATTTCCGTAGAAATGAAGTTTCTTCTTATTTAAGAATCTCACCCAAAGCTTGTTTACTAATAATGATGAACGTATTTAAGAGCTTGTATATGTATCCAGACATATAACAAAGTAAAACCTGAAGGCAGTTTGTGTACACTGTAAATCAAAAAGCCATAATGTGGCTTAGGTGAACATAAATAAAATTTCTGAAGAGTGTTATTTTATGTCTATATTTATGGGGAATTTGACTGCTCTTGAGATGGATAGTGGGACTGCAGCCAAGTTAGACACACACTGCTAAGCACACCTGAGAAATCTCATTGCATGCTGAGAGATTTGGTTCCAGGTAGGGTTGTGCCACTGTTTACAGTAACATAAGCAATTTGTGTATTCTGCAGGCTCCGTCTTGATGGGCCAGAAGCAACCTGGAACCCCTTTACAAACAGCCAAGGCCTAATATTCGTGTCCGATTGAAAAGGCCATAGAGTTTTATGGGTCTCTATGTTCAACTGGTGTGAAGTGAAGATGGGAAGCTTATACTAGTACACTTTCTGAAAAATCCCTCCTGGGGAGAGTGTTGGCCATTTACATTTTCTTGGTGTAGTTGAGAGAAACACAGTAACACAGGAAAAAGCCAGGGATGCCTTGCAGCTTTCCTGTAAGTGAAAATTAGTTACACAGTCTGTTTCAAGGATGTGGGACTCGGGATCTCGACTGTTGAGCCTCCCTAGAGGGCTGCACCATATCCTACATGTCACTGAATGGTTTCTGTATTTCTTCTGCACCCCTCCCAGTAATTTTGTGGTTTCCCAAACTTTGAGCAGCCCTTTCACCACTCTAAAAGGTTGAAATCCTTATTTCAGAGGCTTCGTTTTTCTGCAGTTCTGTACCTCACACACGCTGATTATGCAGCAATGGTCCTTTGAGAAAACACTACAGTAAAACAGCTTTAAGGTAAAAGGTCTGGCCGCCACCTCTGCATGCTCTGGGGGTGACTCTGACTTACCTCGCCATTTGTTTGGACTGCTTGCAGCCAGCCAGCCAGAAAAGGCAAACATTTTCTTGCCTTAGGGCTTTCATAAAAAAATTCTCACCTGTTCTGGAGCACTGACAGAGCTTTCCCTTCTTTCTTGGAGTTTCCCCCTTTTCTCTGCCCCCAAGTCCCAGGGTGCATGGCATCAACTCACTGAGTAGAAGCTAACATTGAACTGGACCACACTCGTGCCAATCAACATGCATGCGATGGCCACTGATACTTCTGCTACTAAGAATCTGTTACAACCTGCTATTACCAATAGTGTTACAAGGACTGCGCACCACCTAGAGGGCACTATTTCCATTCTCCACACTCAGGATACCCTAAATCACACAGTATCTAAACCACTAGAAGGCCAGCTCCTGGGCCCTTCCACCCCACCAGGTTCAATGAGCTTCCAACTCCATTGCTGTCCTCCTTTTCTAGTAAATGTTTTTCAGTATAGCATCCTGAAAAAAAATTGTCTAAGCCCCTCCCCCCCACCATGCAATTCTCACTGACAGTTAAGCTTGTTTATCCATCTCTGCCTCTCAATAATGAAACAAATCAATGGCCCATCATGGCAGAAGAGAGTTATTTCTCTGACTTCCGCCTTCAACATTGTTCCTGAAGTAGGTGATCAAAATCCCTTTTCACATTTTGATGAGACAGTATGTTAAGCAAGCTTTACAAGTGGCTAAATCTTTAGGCCTGGAAATCAAAATTCCACAGGTCTCTGCTATTGACCTGGTGCTCAGTAGGGTACAGTCTCCATCCTCATGTTCCCTCCATTCTGAAATTAAGCTATCATGGACAAGACCCTCCACTTTATCACCAATGGCTCACAAAAGAGAGAACCTTTACAGTGTCCAAGACAAAGATTTTACCTTCTTCAAAAAAATCCTACTCCCAGCTCTGTATAAGTAAAAATCCAAGATCACATATAAGAGCTAGTCCTCTCCCAGTGATACAAAGGGATGAATCTAGACATAAGTACTCCACACTGGGGTTACCTCTAGGAGAGTTCAGTTACTGGGCTTGTGTGTCAGCCTACCAGCACTTCCTATGGGACAGAATAGTGTCAGTTTCTGAAGCCAAATCCAGGGTAATAGTATGTTGCTTTGTGCCATACTGTAAAGGCTAATGCACAAATTCTCTCTCTTGATTGGGCTGTAGTATTTCAATATAAACAAACATTTAGCTATGGGCTGAATGACATATGTCATTTATCTATGTTGTAAGCCGCCCCGAGGCTTCGGCGAATGGGGCGGCATAAAAATGTTTTAATAAATAAATAAATAAATAAATATGTGCAGCACATGCTGATGTGGACACAGATTCCCTACTACCATTTCCTGCCACTGAATTGCCAAGTGGCCTGTGATTGCCATGTAGGTTTGTGTTCCAAGTTGAAGACTCACCCAAACTTCAGAAGCAGATATACTGCTTAATACCTGCACTAATTTTAGCTCTGTTTCCTATATTCTACCTTAGATGGCTTTTAAAGTATATTGGATAGTTTCATGGAGGAAAGGGAATGATTTCTGCTTCATGCTGAAATCCATGGGACTTGTTAATCCTGATTAACTTAAGTCCCATAGATTTCAAGAGTCTTGTATAAATATGATTAAAAGAATCCAACCCTAGTTCAGTCAATAACTGTCAGCCATAGGAGCTACATGGAACCCAGAACACCGCCCCCACCCCCAATAGAAAGGTAGTACCCCATTGAATACAGCTTAGTTTGCAGAGGTAGCAGCAGAGGAAAACTATTACCTTCATGTTTTGGTTGTTTGCTTTCTGGAGACAGCTCGGAAACACGATTCTGGCTTACATAACTTTGGTGTGATCCAGTGAAGCAGCTCTTACATTTTTGTTGCTGTGTTTCCTCTCTCTGAGCGCAAAAACATTCTGAGACTAAAATGAAAATGGATGTCATCTTTTTGAGCTCCCATCTGTTTTGGATGAGACAGAGGCTGTGCAACTTAAGATGGAAATAACTACTTTGTAGATAAGTGGGACATTGGTCTCACTGGCTCAAGACAGATGCAGGTACAGCTTTCTTCAAGTTGGAAGAAAATGGTAGTCCTGATGGAATGGACTACCACTTCCATCATCCACAGCCAGCATGGCCATTGCATGAGGGCCAGACTGAGGGTGATGGAAGCTGTAGCCCAAGAGACAACTACAGGGCATTAGCTTGAGAAAGCCTGTATTAGTCTGTCTCTCACTGCTGTATGGTTTGTTGATGTAACTGAAAACCACGCTTTGTAATATTGCGCAGGGCCATGATGGATAAAATGGCCCAGGAATGACCCTCTGAACCTTGGCTAACCTTAAAAGCTTATGCCTGGTCCCATTGCTCTCCTGACGGTGGTCATGGCTTTCGCTAAGCGCCAAAACATTAACCAAGGTAATTCACTTGGGTCAATAGTTTAAAAACAAGCACAAAGTTTCTCACCATACATCACTCCCGCCACACGAATAAAACAGGCTGTGTTGAATCTCTAGGTCCTTCTACAGAACTCGATGGATGTGACTTTCCTTTTATTTCCTTTTCCAAGGGAAGTGGAGATTCCAACTTGTTCTTATAAACCATGCATTTCAGCTCTTGATTGCCATGGCATCTAGATTTTTAGACAGAGGTACTGAGGATTGTTGAAACAGCGTGTTCCTCCCTGCCTGCTGGTAAGTTGTTTAAAACACAGTGTGACCCCAGGAAATCTTTAATAATGATCCATGCATATTGCAGTAACGACTTATTTATGTCATACAACAAGTTTAAAGTTACTGCAGGAGCTGGGGTTGGCTGGTTTGTGAGTGGCTTATTTATTTTTCCATTCTGAATAAGACCATAACAATAAGATCAGACCAAAGCCCAAACTAGTCCAGAGTTCTCTTTCCTACAGTAGCCAGGCAGATGCCTATGGGAAGCCCATTCCTGTCCCCAGAACAGGCCGGGAATCACATGCACCCATTGCTGTTCTTCAGGGACTGGTATTCTGAGTCATGCTACTGCAGCAGTAACATAGAGCCACCATGACTAGTAGCCATTGATAGCCTTATCCTGCAAGAATTGATCTAATCACCTTTTGAACATGGCCACCTGGTTGCAGAACCACTCTCATGGGCACAAATGTAACTTTGATTGCATTCTCCTCTTGACATAGTCTGGAAACTATTTGATTCTATATCATTTGAGCTAGCAGAATCAAATCAATATCAAATATTTTTTCAGGAGGACATGGCTGCATGTTATTTAATTTCGGCTAGGTTCATTATGGCTTTCCTCCTAATTTCAATACATGCAGGCGCTGTCCTATTTTTGGAGGGGGTGTAGGAGGGGGGCAGGGAAGAAACGTGGAAAGCAATGGCCAGATCAGATTTTGTTTCTGCGTGTTGCATTTCTGCTTCCTCACAAGCATTTGTGCAACATTGAAGGAAGAAATATGTACAAGCCAGAATTTTTCTGCAAATAGAGAATCCACAACTTGTGATTTTAGTTACTTGCACAAGCTGTAAAATGGGTATGGTAGTAATATATGAATATAGGCCACCATCCAGAGTGCTGCTTTAGGTGTGGCCAAGCATCTCTGAGTTCCTAGAAGAGACGCTGACGTCTGTTTCTTGTAAGATAGACATCCACTCATCATACCATGGCATATCATGGCTTATTTTGCATCTCCCTCTCCTTTCACTAGTTTGCTGTGCAGTGGAAAGTGGGAGGGGTGGCTCATCTTTAACAAACCAAAAACTAAAGATTCTCTAATGACATGGTACCC